AAAGAGAATCTGTCTTCAAAACATCTCAACATTAAGAATGAAAATTAGAAAAGAAAATGTAAGGATGTATAGAATTTAAAAATTCAGTTTGCATCCAATGAAAAAAATTTGCAATAAAAGAAGAGAAATAATATATGCTCACCAAGGAAAACCATTTTTTCAGACATTTAAATGGAATTATTATACTAAAATGAGGAAAATATTATCAAACTATCACGTTTTATTGTCAGTCATATAAAACTGTTTAAAATATATACTAAGTAAGAACAGAGTGGGATTAAACAGGGAGTGTAGTTAAACCAAAGTCACAATCAGTAACAAAACCCTTTAGGAAGAAATAAAAAGGAAAATCTATGATAGAAAATCAAATCATCTAAAGGGATGATAAACTTGGGAAATATAACCAAAACAAAATGTAATTTAGTAAAATTATAAAAATAGGAAAGAAAGAATGACATGTATGCAACATGAAATATGGAGTTGCTACCAGTGCATAATTGGATTTTTCAAGAAAGAAAATGGAAAGAACAGTTGTTAATCAAAAGTAGAGTAGCAAAAAAGAATTCTTAAGCCAAAAAACAAATGAACTTAATCTGAATTTAATAAAAAAGTAGGTTTGCAAATGAAGTCAAATTCTGACTAGAGACAAACTACAAAATATATTCAGCTAAAATATCAAAATATAGTGGAGGAAAAAAACAAACATTCTGATAGCAATCATGCAGAAAATCCAGGTCATTTAGAAAATTGAATGATTTCAGATTTATCTTGGAGTAGAAGGAGGCAAAACAAATCCAAATGATTTCAGATTTATTTGGTAGGAAAGGGAGGCAAAACAAATTGTCAAAACACTGACAAATTGTGTTGTATTATTATTAATTCAAAAAGATAAAAAACCCAGAATTCTTTAGCCAGTTGAGTGTTTATTCACAATAAAATAATACTCAGATATTCAAGGTTCAAGGATGTTGTTATCATGAAATTTTCTTTGACAAGATGTGTGCTTCATTTGATCAAGGGGTGATGATATGAATATCTTTACTATCTAATTTTAGGTAAGGAGAAGCTGTAAAAGGAACTCTAGATATTGAGATGAGTAAAGAGACCAAACAATGTCAAAAGGAGGATGGTGGCTAGTCCATTTAAATTTTTGATGCATTTCTGAGATCATCAGAATCAGGACAAAATTGTCATTATTATTCACAAAGCACTAACTAGAGCAGTAGAAAAAAGAAAATATAAAACTAAGGAAGTTTGACAGTCAGGAAATAAAAATGAAAAATATGATCTTGACAAGTACTAGATATAATGCTTTATAAAACAGAGTGCAAAATATGAATGGAATAAAGAAAAAGGAGTCATAAAGTTTAATGAAAAAGTAAAAATATTTTAAAATATTAAAATGTTTCAAAATATTAAATATTAAAAATATTTTAATGGGAAATAACATTAATAAAAATATGTAGGTCCTATATCAGAAAACTACACAATTTACTAAAAGACACTAAAGATTTAAATAATTGAAGTATCGTACCATTATCCTGGAAAATGCACTATATAAAAGAAAGCTATCTGTAAATTAGTACAATTCCAATAAGCAATCTGTTGTATTTTTGTTTCTTGCAAAAATATTCTGAACCTGATCTAAGACTTCTCTGCCAATGCAGTAAAATGATCTTTAAAACTAAAATATTAGCCTAGGATTGCATATGTAGACCCCTCACATGGAATAGACTAGAATATGCAGAAACACATAAAGTGGGTAGACATTTAATTTATGGTAAGTGACACAAATATTGATGAAAGAAACAATGTGGGAGACAATGTTCTGTCACAGAAGAATTAAAGTCATATTTTGTGCCTTAGCCTCAAATCATAGACCAAAATACATTTTAGATAGATTAAAATAAAATAATAAAAGTGTTAGATGACAACAGAAATCTATATGTGTATAATCTTATGATGGCAAAAGCATTTCAAATCAGGATCCACAAGTCAGACATCATAACACAAAACTTTGATAGATTTGATTACATAAAATAGTAAGACTTATCTATGGCTGAAAAAGACCAGAAATGAAGGATATATAAAAAGAAATTGCTAAAAATGTTCATCTTTTTATGGAGAGAGCTGGTAAGGCAGAAATTTTGAATGGAAAAATGGTCAGGCTGTGTAAATAGGCATTCCAAAATTAATGCATTAATATGGGAAATAGTATTTAGACACATTTATGATGTTAACTTATAATTTACTAACACAAAATAATTAACACTTTTCAATATTAGATTGACAGTTTTTCTTTTAATTATAGTATCTGCTGGTAATACTGTATGGGAACTCAGGTGCAGTTGGTGGAGGATGAATTTGTAAAGTGCAATATAATTTGGCAATGTTTATCAAAAGTATTTTTAGAATGTTTGTATCCTCTGATCCAGCAATACTACTTCTCAGAATTTACCTTTAGGAAATGACAGGTACAGATGTACAAACAAGAGTGATTTTTCAGCTCCCCAAAGGAGTGCTCAGTTCTGAGAGATAATCAGCAAATAAAATGGATATAATTTATGACTATCTGTATTTGGGAACTTGAGCAGGAGGTGGAATTTGAAACTGATTCTAAATTATCTAAGCTAGGAATAGGAATAGGGAATTCAGAGGCACGGCAGATTTATTTTTTGATCCTTTTTTTTTTTTTTTTTTGAGATTTACAGCCAATGCCAGAAATTAAGGGAAATACAAGAAATATATAATAGAAAGCTAAATTAACAATAGCTGCTGTAACAGATTTACTTTTTTTAATGCTCAGTGTTTTGAAAATAAAGCTCTTTTTTTCCCCTCAAGCAATTTGGCGATGCATATATTCTTAGTTTGGCAATAATTTTCTTCCAGGCAGAGAGTCAGTGACCCATGGCCTGACCTATTCTTGTGGTTCTCTTATTTTCAACTTGCATCTCCTGAGATCACTCGGGAAGGTTACATGTGGGAGGCATTTATTGGCTGGGCTTTCTTTCAGTTGTCTAGAACACAAATCACATGGTTAACATTCAACTGCCAGTGAAGCTGGTAAATGTCTAGCTCTGTTCACTGAAAGAATAGGAAACAAATTTGTCATTAGCTAGAAATCTCTGCCCCAATATAGCCTTCTGATCAACAAATATTTTTACACCTTCTTTTTCTCCCATCAACCATTGCTAAACCCTGTCCAAAGAGATAACCTCAAGTCCCATCAAGCCACTGTATCCAACTCAAAGACCAAGATCCTCAAATATGCACAGTTCTCTTCATCATCTCTGGATATGTTAGTCCAGGGACAAATGAACCAAAACACAAGTTTCAACACTCTTCTCCATCCCATACACAAAACACAATGATAGAACAGATTCAGGAAAAGCACTCCTTTAAATAAAGGTTCTCTTTTGGAAATAGAAGAAAAATAGGGAACACTTGAGTAGTCACTGATCCATAATAATTGTGAAAATATGCCAGAGTGGCATGAAAAGTTCCCTCTGCCTTGGCAATAGTTATAGTTCTATGAAGAAACTAGATTTTCTTCTGTTCATTCTTTTTTGTTTCTACAATTCTGCCTTACAGGAAGTTCAACCTTGTCAGTCATACTCTGTGGCCACATCAGAAGTGGGTGTTTGGTAATATGCCCTCTGTGGGGACGACACAGCTTTTATAGGCCACTTCTTGCTTTCACCAAGTTTGGGAGTCCAGAGATTGTTTGATGTTTCAATTGTCAGACTTTTCTTTATTTTTCTTTTCTTTTCTAACTAGGTATATGCTTCTTTGGCACAATAGTTCCATTAAAAACACAGTAGACTCCTAATATATTTGTCAGATTCTTGTGCCTGTAACCACACTTTAAGACTTTCTGAAAGTGGAATTGCCAGGCCTAATTTATTTCTTTACTCTCTCTCTCTAAATCTCTCTTGTAGGCTATAAGCAGCTCCCATGAAGTTATGCACACAATGGACTTTGGAGGATAGGCAGTACACTTAACCTGACTTTTGCCATAGGGCTGAGCCTTAGTATGTTTTGTTGCTCAGAACCTCAGTTTTATCTCTTATTGTGCAACTTTTATAAATAGTTGATTTTCCAAACTTTTGAGTACTCAAAATATGGAGCTTTCTTTGATCTTTTCATTTCTGCTTGATAACTGGCCATCCTCTACCGGTCTCAGCTCTTTCCTATAATATCTTACTAAAGGCAGAATGTAAAAGTATATCATTAATCTAATCTTTCCAACCACTTCCTTTAAAGTTACAAGTGCAACAGGCATTTAATCCTCAATGTTGAGTATTCATCTTTCTCCTTCTATCAATAACACAACACAGTTTGTAAACCCCCTTCTTCTTGAAGTATGATCTTCCCTTTAATCAACTAATGTGTACTCTCCAGGATCTCTTCCTAGCCCACTTTTCTCTCCTTCTCAGTCTACTCTGCTGGACGCACTTCTTTCAGACTTTAAGTATAGGAGCTTTTCAGGTTTCAATTTTCAGACTTCTTCTCTCTATCTAGACTCTCTCCCTTGGGGAGTTCCTCAATTTCCTTAGCTTTAAATAATATTTATATAATGGTAAATACCAAGTTATAATCTCTAACCCCAGTGTTTCCTATGACATAATTGCATTTTTTAAATGGTATAGTTGTATTTGTCACATTAAAAATACACACACACATATTTTCAGGTGGAGAAGAGGAGAAAGAAAAGGCATGTAACTATACAAAATCATATATGTGTATTTGTTTATCCTGTTTCTCCCTTAAAATGGAAACTCAGTGGCAACAGTAATTTATATGTCAAATGTTATATTCTCCAACATTTTGTACATTATAGGCACATAATAAATATTCGTTGACTAGATGACTGGTGTAATACACATTAATAAAATTTTATTTTAATGTGCTAGTTTTCAACATAACTCATTCTAATGCAGATATGTATTCTGTGTCTAAATAACACACTAACTAGGACAATATTTTTCTCTGTTTTCTAGATCCCAATGCTCTGGCTGGCCAGACTGGCCCTGATCATGCTCTTATAGGAGGAATTGTGGCTGTAGTTGTATTTGTCACTCTGTGTTCTATATTTTTGCTCGGACGGTATCTGGCAAGACATAAAGGTAGGTTATATTTAATAAAGCATTCTTACATTTGGCAAAAAAAAATTCTAAAGACTAGCTTCATCATGAAATATTATGTGAGTGCGTGCGTGTGCGCGTGTGTGTGTGTGTGTATGTGTGTGTGTGAGAGAGAGAGAGAGAGAGAGAGAGAGAGAGAGAGATGGGGGGTGAAAGAGAGAGATCTAACTACTAAGTTGTTTCAGAGAATTCTTGATTATTTTACTCAACGTTAAAGCTGGATTGGCTATCAAAATAATACTTAGCCAGTAGCCAAAAGTCACAGAGTAAATCATTGGCTCAGGAAAAAAAAAAGGAAGCAAGTTTGTAATTTATCTCTAGGACTGAAATTCAACTCTAACATTAATCGTTTGGTAATGTTTCTATTTGTAAGCTTATGGACACACGTGTGGCCGTATTAGTGAGGAAAATATGTGATTTTTCACAATGGTCTAGGTAGCAAACTATTGATATAATCTACTTTTAAATGGAGTTACCAAAATAAATGGTGACCCGTTTGATGTGATCATTATCAACATCTTAACAAAGGGCCCTGATTGCTACAGCTGCATGGATCACATGGTCTGAAGCCATCATTAAAGAAATCAAAGTACTCATTACCCATTCCAGTTTGGCTGTTGCCTCTAGTTAATCTGACCACAGCTTCATCTACAACATATACTAGAATACCGAAAGAAAGTGTGCAACTTTAGAAGGGTGAGTTGTGTGGTTTCTTACGACTCAGAATATGTTTCAACATATAAGAAATCTGGCATAAGTTTCTTCCTAAATGAATGTAGCTTTAATACTGGCTATTTTACCAGTCTGACAGAACTAACGTATTTTTCTTCCAATACCCACAGGAACATATTTAACAAATGAAGCTAAAGGAGCTGAAGATGCACCAGATGCTGACACAGCCATTATCAATGCTGAGGGCAGCCAAGTCAATGCTGAAGAGAAAAAAGAATATTTCATTTAAGATGCAGGCCAAGATTCTGAATTTTACTTACCACACTGGCTGCTGGAGAAAACTGGCTATCATCTTTCAGAATTCATTTCTATCATCTTCTGCTACCTTTATTAACTTCCATACCGTACTGCTATCAGTAGCCAGTGTATACCAACAATCAGCTGTCGAAAGCATCATTCTTTAATTACTGTACCATCCATAATGCAGGACATTTCTTACTGCCTAAATTCCACACCATTGCTCTTTTAACATACAGTGCTTGAATATACAGCCTTAACAATGTTAATCATCTCCTTGGATCATGATATTGAATTGTTTTTATACATTGAAAAAAATGTATGCAGAGGTTTTTTTCCCCTCATTTTTTGTCCCCTTTAAATCAAAGACCTTGTCAGTTTACCATTGGACAGCTTTCACAAGTAACAAGATTAGGTAAAGACCTAATGTGCTTAAGTTCAATCAGATGTTAGAGGTTTACGATGTTTTCTACATGTCTATATTCAAAGACATGTTTTGGAAACATATGCCCTAAAAGACAAAAACTGAAAAAGACTACTGTAGTATAGATTCTGGAATGTTTGAGATTGTACTGGTAAAGCTGTATCAATTCACTATTTAAAAATTTAGTATTTGATACAGGAGCCATGTATATGGATTGCAATCAGGACATGCTATCTTATATAATTATATAGATCTTACCATTAGGTTATTTTAGCTTCATATACCAATAAATTGTTACAAACATTTTACTGTTTTGGGAATCACAAAACTTTCATTCATTTCTCTAATTTGATTCTGTAATTTATTTGTTCCACAAAGACTCACCTGCCTAAACAAAATTGAAATATCCATAGGGCACAATTTTGAGACATTTTAGTATCTGTATATAGTGCATATAATAAATCCAATTAAACATTATTTGATACATATTTAACTTTTTTGGCTGTAGGTAATTCAGTCATGAGTAAGCATTTTCTAATGTCCATTATATCTCTTTAGATATTACTTAAACCAATATAATAAGTAGGTAACATGTATTAGTATTTTTGTCTGTATGTCCTAGCACTGTTCAACAACAAATTTTTCTAGTTCTTGTTAATTTTTATTTGTTATACAATGGAAGCACAATGTTATAAGGAAAGGTAATTTTAAGCTAACAACCAGTGCACAGCCTCAGGTTTTAAATTACAACCACAGTTGAATAATAATCTAAAAATAAACTCTTAGTTTGCTAAAAATTTTCAAATTTTAATTTGGCAGTTCCAGAGCTGCTTACCTATGTTGGTTTGCCAAAAAGAAGTGTTTAAGATATGTTTTCTGTATAAATGAACTAATTCTTTATATTAAATTCCTGTCTATGCATTTTGTGAGGTACAAACTTATGAAACAGTGAGTGATAGAGAATTTCTGCCATGCTTTTAACTCCAAGGTGAAAGTCTCTTTCTCTGGATTATTTCTGAAATTTTGGTGTATTTAACCATTTAGAAATGCTGTATTCTTAAATATGACACAGAGTCAATCTAAAGTCATATTATTTCTCCTAGTAAAATACGATACTACTAGATTAGTGCTCATTAGACTTACTATATGCTAAAGATTAAAAATCCAGTTAGATAAAAATTATTTTCCCATTAACAAGCACTGCACCTTTAAGAAGAACACACATATGACGATATGGTAGCTATACTTGCGACGTCTGAAAGCATGATGGCCTCTGGTTTTAAAAATATTATTTTGGAATTTATTTTTGGGAAATGAGAATGGTTGAGTATGACATCATGTATTAATATCAAATGAAAGACAAGGGTGCTGTATCTTAGATTATTTATCAGAAAAGTATAAATCTTTTAAGGACAACGTTAGAATTTTTAATTTTTTTTGATCATTGAAGCATATATCTTGTTGATTTCTTACAAGAGAAAAAGGACGATGTCAGTCAAGCAGCACTTTTTCAGAATATACAGAACATAAATAATATGATGTGGTTGAGTGTTAACATAATAAATCATATACAGTATGACATTTTAAGGAAATAAGTCTGCATTGATGTGATTGCATGCTTGTTTTTACAGTTCATTCCATACCATCTGTGGAAAAATGCAATAATATGTTAATATAGTATGGTAGTTTGAGAGAATCAGGTAGGTGCTACTAGACACATTGAAACTAGAATAGGTTTATAAACTGTTCATACCTTTCAATGCATAATCTTTAGAAAGATTCCACAAAGCAAAATTCATCCTGTTATTACAAAAGGGAAAGGTTCTTATTACAGAAGTAAGTTGTATAAACTGCATCATCAATTACTATTTAGAGCCTAATTTCAGGATGCATTTACAAAATTGCTACTCTTCATCGATGTATTTACATCCCTCTTCATTTCATCTGTATTCTACTTGGCTCCAACTGCTAAACTGTTGCCTAAATAACTCAATCATTATTTATAGCACTGCAAAATTAGAAATCCAAAATTGGTTGCACTTCAAGACTTTTGACTCTTTTAACCCTTTACAGTAGTATAAAAACTCACTGGAACTCTGTAAATGAAACTAACTGGTATATTATGATTTGTGAGCTCTAATCAAATATTTTGACAGTTAAAATAGATTTGAATTACGTATCATTTCAGTTACTGAAAGAAAACAGCAGTGGTATTATATTTTCCTATCTTAAATTTTTTTTTTTGATTTTCACCAAATGAGATAAATTGTAAAAATTCTGTTCATTTCTATAAAAATCAGAAAAAATATGAAATAAATTTCTAAATGGACCATGCGAATTGCCATGACTGAAACATACACACTTATATGCCCAGAGAGCCATAGCCACAGAATACAATGGAAGGCGTGTGCACACACATACACCCCACTAGTAGAATATGGAACATTATTCTTTACCAAAAGTAGCTGTTCTCTGCCAGTGTACTGTTTACAGTGTAAATTGTCCTCCATCAAAAAAGTGTAAACAGCATTCTTTTTTTCTTGCTTCCATTTTTGAGTGTCCTAGATAGAACGATTATCAAAATTAGGGAGAAAAAGGAAAGTTTGTGAGTGCAAGGGCAAAGATAGCATGAGCACAGTAGTGTGTGTGTGTGTGTGTGTGTGTGTGTGTGTGTGTGTGTGTGTGTGAGAGAGAGAGAGAGAGAGAGAGAGAGAGAGAGAGAGAATCCAACTTGTTTTCTTTTACCAGAGAATCCAAGAAGCAGTTTAAGGAACCTGACATTGGAGTTTAATCTAGAAACTGGATGACCTCATATTGATTCAAGATACTTAATCTTGCATTGAAACCCCACAATTAAAATAACAAATAGAGAAAGAAAACTAACTTTCCTAAATATGGCAAAAGAAGCTAACACCTCATTTATTTTTATTTCTTTGTAAAAGTATAAATATCTCAATTAAAGGGACAGGCTCACTTGTAATTATGTACTCATGATTGTAACAGCATTGAGATTCCATATAGGCCCATGTACAGCAGCTGTTTGACGGTGATGGTTCTTCCATGTAACATAGCAGTTATCGTGTAATTTAGTGCCACTTATTGCAAAGTGTTACCAAGGGGAACATTTAAAATACTTTTTCTTTTTCTTTGGATATAAGGATAATTGAATGAATGATAAATATGAAATTTCATGTTACATTTTTTAATTGTGGAGAAAATGCAAAACCTCATATCTTACTGCAAATTCCCCATCACATTGCTAATTACTTAGAGCCCTCTAAAAATGCCCACTATAATCCCCCTTTGCAAATGGTAATCTGTGAAGAATATACAATACAAAAAAAAAAAAAATTAAAAAAACAACTGGCAACCACAGCAGAAATAAATGAAAAACATAATGAGAATTATTGAGTAATGCTTTTTATTAAGTGGCACAAAGTACACACTAAAAACTATGCAAAATATAGGTAACTACAGTGTACGTACATGTAAGTATCCTGTACTTGCTGTGTATGGATGTTGGAAACCCATGTAATTATAATATGCATTTTGAATATTGGGAAAGAGGAAATCTTAGTGTAGATAGTAGTACTTGTTTTGAAATATACACTGGCAATATTGAAATACACTCAGTGCAATATCTGCTATTCTATTGCTGGATACTTAATGCAAAGGGATTTTTAAAAATTCTTCAACAAGATCTAAAAGGTTGCTAATCTCCACCTCCTGCATATTAAAGCATTAATTAAAAATACAAGTGACATAACACGTTAAGTTTTTCTTAATCATTAACGTGACACAATAAAAGTATCTGACCTTGTTTTTAGAGTTACTGGAGAGAAAGAGATAACCTGAGTTTTCAACTTTGATGCATATCTAATTGAATTTGGGATTCTTAAACTTTCTTTGAAATGTGTGTATGTTTTAATGGATTGTGGTACTTTTATTACAAGTACAAATTTATTCAATCAAAGAACATAGGTTACCTTTAATAGTTAGAGTCACTATATCTTAATGGAAATTTTTTATATATTTTCTTTTTCTACTCATTCTTCCCTTTCTCTCTCTATTTCACCCCAAACATGCCCTTTGCACTTATACCCTTCCAAAGGCAATGGATTGAAAGTAGCAAGATTATAAAGAGAGCTAAAGGGGACAACATGTAAAAATGGGTTCTAAACTCATCAGCATTTTTATGTATTCAGATATTAATATTGAATGCAATAGTTATTGGATAGAGCTGGTAAATTTTCTGCCATGCATACTTACAATAATCCTTCTACCTCTCACTTTTAACATGGGCTATGATACTTCGAAATAAATAGAAGAAATAATTATTTACAAGGTATCCCAGGAAGCACTCTTTCGCAACTATCGTAACAGTCCTCTCCCCACCCCCTGGGAAATCTCAAAAGCCAACTTTACTTTCAGTGTACTCAACGGTGTATGGATCTGCATTTGTTTTTCCTCTTCTGTCATTAACTTTTCCTATAAGCAAAATACAGTAACTTTATAAGGATAGTTCCTCACGTGACTATTTACTATTTCAATGTGATATAATTGTGTTGATTTTAAAAATAATTTAAATGGCAACACTTTGCAGTCCAAGCTGACATTTCATTTAATATTTAAAATAAACAATTTCTTATAAATTAATGCTATGCTTTTAAGTAAATATATGTGATTTATTTTTCCAAGAAGTGTTATCTATGTAAGACAAATATTTAAGCATTGAAAAATGCCTCCTCATTAACAAATAATCCCTGAATAATGGATGCAAAGTATTGCCACAAATACCCACTTTATTTTGGCTACATAGACATAATATGAATTCTTCAAATGATGTAATTTAATTATTCTAAAAGGAAATGACATTTTGAAAGCAGATTTTCCTTTAGGAAAAAAGGATACAAAAATTATCTCAAATTATGATGCTGAATCTATAAAATATGTTTAAAGTAAAATATATCTATGTTATGTGGTTATGTTACAAATAATATTTGGTGTAATCTTTACCATCTTTTCCATATATATATATATAAATGTATGGTTATTTTGGAGAGAATGGGCCCAAATGTGAAAAAGATGTAAAGAGAAAACACTATTTTCCCCTATGAAATGTACTGTATATTTCAAAAGAAGAAACTTAAAAGATATTTGTAGATTGCAGGGGCAAAAGAGAAACCTACCAGGGCTCAGCACTTAAGCACTTTTCCCACATCCAGGGTCAGAAGAGCGGTGATTCCTACATGGACTTTTAAGTGCAGTATGAAATGCCACATTACACTTCTCTTACACACAGTACTGTCAAACCTCAAATGTTTTCTTTCTTCAGATGCTTCTCCTTTTACATGATACTAGTAGACACTTTTCTCTTTATACTTGCTGATAGTGAAAGTTATATGCAATAAAATATGTGATGGTTGAAAGCAGTGGTCACCAGTTGGTTAAAAAAAAAAAAACTGTGAAATGTAAACTGAATTGTTATCTCTTTATCCTTTTTGCTTTTCTTTGTGTTTCTAACGTATTGATTGAGTCTCATAAATAGAAAGGAAAATAATTTAGAAAAATTTCAAAACTAGTACTCTTTCTCCTTACAAATGTATGAAATTAATCTCTTTACATATTTATTTAACTGTACCTGCTGTACTTATTGTAGATTCAATGATGCAGTTAAGTAGTAACCCAAGGATTTATGAGTTTGGATTACTGACCTATTTTCTTCATATTCAGTTCACATCAATATTTGCAAATTGGTTGTTTAGCTTTTTATTCAACCAAAAAATATTCCCTCAAGGAAGCTCCATTTTTATCATAAATATTTCAACATAACCAACATCTGAACAAGTCTGCCATGTTAAAAAGAATTTAAAGACTTATCTCTGAAAATGGTACCCACAAATGCAG